AAGACTTATATTTTTGATATTTATTTTATATATTTAAATGCCATTTAACAAAGAAAAATCAACCAAAAAAAATGAGTTCATAGGTTCGCCATCACTGTCCTAGATTCAAAGACAATCCTGCTTATTTCTCCACATTGACATTGAATAATTACCAGGCACTGTGGTATGTGATTTGTATGTATTATTTCATATAATACTCATAACGCCTTGTGAGATATTATTACTCTTATTGTCATTTTACAGTTCAGCAAACTGAAGCACAGAGTGCTTTGAGATTTTTTCCCCACTATATAACACTGTTTGTCAGAACTCAGCATATTATAAATTGGATTATGAGCAGGATGAATATAGAAATAATTGGCATGAGGCATTGTGGTCTTGACTTAGCTTAGTGACTTTGGAAAAGCAGAGGTCTAACTGAATTGTCTAAACATGGCAAAAGCTGATTTTCTGATCATCACACAGCTCTTATTTGGAGAGCACCAGGACTAGCCTGAGGTGGGTAAAGAACTTACCTTGCATGTAAAATTTAAGAGTGTTCTAGAAAATTCATCAATTAAAATGAATGATATTTTAATGCAATATTTAACAATTCAGAATTAATGCAAACAACTGTGATTACAAAATATCAAAAATTTTAAATGAAGACAGGATCATTTTCACCAAATTTTCCTTTTGTTTTTGGTTCCAATATGGTTTGGCACTGCCCAAGGAGGGAGGCTTGAACTTGAATGCTATCAATCTGAGTTCAGAGCCCATGCTTGTTTGCTGATGTTTCTCTGGATATGAAAGATAAAGAAGAGTCAAATACAGCTTAAAGAACATAAGACTGATGGTCAAAGATAATGGTGAAGCCATGGAATTGGTTCTTTAGGAGGAAAGCAGAAAAAAATGACTAATCTAATTTCCCTAGTGTATTTAGAAACTTAAGAATCTATAAAGTGTGGCTTCAAAGACAGAGAACAAATAAAAATCTTATTTAACTTTAAACTTTTTCTTTTCTTAGCACTCTTTTATGAGTGTCAAGAATCCAATTACTGATCTTAAGGCGCCTAAAGCAGTTTCCCCTGCATCTGGTGGTATACATTTCTGTAAGAAATAGAAGATACTATTAAGAGTACTTGAACACTGAGAAACATTTTTATCTCATATAATAGAAGTGCTGGAAGCAGGTGATAATTCCAAGATTGGATAATTCAATGCCTCAGCAATGTCATGGACTCAAGTTCTTTCATTTTTAACCTTTGCCTTTCTTAGTAATCCAGCTACGGTTTGTGTGGGCATAACGTGGCTACAGCAGCTCCAGGTTCTCTGACACCATGCCACAACTTCTTGTTCCCCCTTTTAACAACAAGAAAACCCCTCCAAGAATCTCCCATCCAACATCTTATTCCAGAAACAATTGTGAATTCATGTTATTGTTTGTTTGATAGCAGTATAACATAACATAATAGCTAAAAGTCATGCTTTGGAGGGTACAAAATCAGACTCCATAATTTACTAGCTGTGTAACCTTAGCCATATTATTTAAATTCTCTATGTCCCAGTGTCTCAGTGTTTCTATATTTAATATAGAGATAAAAAAATATAGCTACCAAATTGGATTATCGAAAGGAAAAAGTGAGTTAATATAAAGTTCTTAGAATGATATCTTCCAGGTAACATGCTCTTTATAAGTGTTACCTACTGTTGTTATCTGAGGATCCTCACTGTGATATATGTAATCTAACTCATGGAAACAGGAGAGGTAAGAAAGTAAAGTTATCTGAGTACTCTTAAAAAGGAAGACATTAATAAAAGATTTAGTTGCATTGTATATTATTCCCTTTGAAATGATTTGGATGTCTGAGGGAAGGAATAAGAATTAACTTGAGGACAGCTATCTTACTCAAGATCTACATATCTACTAGTATATCTAGTATATATCTATATCTATATCTATATCTATATCTATATCTATATCTATATCTAATCTACCTAACTAGTCCATATCTATCATTTTTAAAAGTTGTTGTCCAAGTGGCTAAAAATCAGACGCTGATCTCAAGCCAGCAACATTGACTTCATAAAAGTAGTCTAATTTGACTATTTTAAAACCAGGCAATATGTACGTGTCTGCAGAGTTTGTATAATACATTTAAGCATAAGGATAATTAAACAGATGCCTATTTTGTTGGGTTTTATTGTTATGTTCCTCAGTGAACACTTAGAAAGAAGGGGAATGGATAAATGGTCTCAATCTATTCAGATCATAAAAACTCCATTTGCAGTATTGTTCCATTAGATATAAAATATAGACGGGCTAAAATGTCTTTAATGATGTCAGTACAATCCAGTTCTGTATATATAACTCTTTTAAAATTCTCAATTGCAATAATAAAATCCATTCATTTCCTTTCTCTGAGATTTAATCTATCCATTCAGACTATCATACCTTGCTCACACAACTCTCCAGAATGTAGCAAAATAAGGACCAAAGAGTAAAGTTACAATGACATTGAATCCTGGAGATAGGTTTTGCTGAGGCCAGCATTTTATAACTTGTCATCCTTGAATGGGTTGCGGATCTCCTCAAATAGAACATAAAATTTAAAATTTCCCTAGAAATCTTCTCTCTCCTATCATTTCCCGCCTCTGTGGAATCTTACCCATCAGCATAAAAATGGAATATTTATTCCTTCTTTAACAGTACCAACAACAGAAAGCCCACTATGATTCCAGTCCTCCCTCAATCGTTTCCGAATTTCTGTCATTTACTTTGCAGTAAAATGTACTCACTGCCTCTAGATGCTTCCCACTTGGTCTTGAATGCATCCCACTGAAACCATCCTTTGAGATTGCTAATGACATCTTCATCATTAGAGCTAAAAGTCATTCTCACTTGACCTATCAGCTACATTTGTCAGTGATCATTCTATCCTCAAAACAATTCTTCACTTCATATCTATCTAGTACAGCTAGTACATTATGTTCTTTTTTTCTATGTTTCAATTCCCCCTTCTCTCTCCCTCTCTCTCTCTCTCTCTCTCTCTCTCTCTCTCTCTCTCTCCCTCCTTCCCTCCATCCCTCCCTCCCTCCCTCCCTCCTTCCCTGTTCATCTCTCCTTCTCTTCCTTGTTCCTACATTCTAAATGTTGGGGTGTTCCTGGATATACTCTCTTGTTGATCACATTCAGTGATCACATTCAGTGTCATGTCTTTCAATACCTTCTATTCTCTCTCAAACTCCCAAGTTTCTATCTTCAGTGAGGACTTTCCTTTTGTAGATCATAGTGAGCTATACAATATGACATATAGATGTGTAAAAGGCAACTCAAGTTTGACAAGTCTGAAACTCAGCTACTTGTATGCTTCCCCTAAAATCCCTGCTGCTTCTCTCCAGTTCTTCCCATTTTAGTAAATGGCATTTCAATTGTTCTGGTTTCTTATACCAAAAACCTTAAAGCTATCTTGTATCCTTCTTTTTCACACCCTATAGGCAAACTGTCAGTCTATACTATTAATTCTATCTTTTAAATACATTCACAATCTGATCACATCTCATCCCACACACTGTTAAAACCCTGATAGAAATTATGGTAATTTTTCTGCTAGATTACTTCATTTGGCTCCTTTCTGATCTTCCTATTTCCAACCTGGAATTCTTCCAATACTCAACACAGCAAAAGACATTACATGAGTAAAATCACTTCATTCCTCTTTCAGTGACTTCCTATCACAATCAGAGTTAAAGACTAATTTTGAAGTACTTAACCTTTAGATAATATAATATGTTGGTATAATTCTAGTCTCTTAAAATATCAAAGAGAAAATAATCTCTGCAAAGCTAAAGTAGTTTTTTGAATTAAGGAAAACATAAATCTAAAATTTAATTACAGGTTGATGAAAAATCAGGTTCAATGTATACTGTGTTTCTGGGTAGACCACCTCTTCAATCAGATCTTAAACACTGGTCATACCCCTTCAGAGAAATTTTCTTATAATTTGAATGAGAAGAACAATATTTTGAAAATCCCTAAAATGTCTAATTGCTTACATTTTTATTATTTAATCTCTCATTCTGCAAATACTTTATATCTCCTAACAGTGGTCGGCAAACCGCGGCTTGCAAGCCACATGCGGCTCTTTGGCCCCTTGAGTGTGGCTCTTCCACAAAATATCACGTGTGGGCACGCATGTACAGTGCAATTGAAACTTCGTGGCCCATGCATAGAAGTCGGTATTTTGTGGAAGAGCCACACTTAAGGGGCCTAAGAGCCGCATGTGGCTCACAAGCCACGGTTTGCCGACCACTGTCTAGTATAAAATAAAAGGACAAATTTGTGGACTTTATATGTTTTCTAATTTTATCCATTATCTATTAGAAGGTCAAAGACTTTTTATTTTTAGGTATTGGGATATCTAACAAGGGTAAACAAATTGAATCTAACCAGAGCTCAATATGATCACTACCGTGACAATTCCATATTTTTCTTACTGTATCACAAATGATAATAAATGGACCTATCAGTCTTATTTTAGTCACAGCTACTTAAGTCAACTTGGAACTTAGAGTTTATCTGAAAATTTAAAGTCTTCTTTACCATGATGTTTTCCAGTACAATATGGGCCAACCATGATTTCTTTTGTTCCTGACCATCCATAACTTAGAGTTTATATTGCAATTTGGATAACGTAACTATATATTATTTTAATATATTTCTATTTTTTCCCATGTTAAACTTTTATTTAGATTAAAACTTCTCAAGGGCAGCTTCATTATTGATTACCCCATAGTATTTGAACCACAGTTACCCAATAACATTCATTTTTAATTGAATACATGTGCTTACTAAAAAAAATGCAATTTATATTTCTGAGCACACAAAAAAATGTAGCCAAGAGATACTTAAATTCATAAAATTGACATATTCATTTAGTCAAAAGAACAAATCTGGAAAAGTTTTTCTTAGTTTTTTGGGGAATTGTTGTAAAATTTTCTTCTTTTAAAATTACTTTTAGCAAGCTCTATTTCCAAGATTGGCTCAGATCCTCTGAAATTCGTACATCATGCAGTGGAGGAAACTACAGACTGGGTCTATGGCTTCTTTTCTTTGTTGTCTGACATCATCTCGTCTGAGGGTGATGAAGAAGAAGAAGAGGATGGGGATGAGGACACTGATACAGGTACAAAGATCAAAGAAACATTTTTAACTGCTGGGACCAATATTAGATATCTGTCACTGGGGTTTGCTTACATTTAAGCAAAAATGAGAACTTGGTCAATCTAAACCAAAATGAATATACTTCTGAGTGCTCATAGAGAATCAACAGAATGCCAAACTCAGTAAATGTGTCTCATTTGGCTTTCACCTTATAGTTTATCTGCCATTATGGCAAATATGTCAATAGTAAATGCTACCATCAAAGTAGCAATATAGTAGGAGGTCTTATATTGTACTACTATAAGCCCACAATAGAAACATTTGTATGTTTCTTGGAGGAAAGTAATAGCTGTTTCTCAAGTTTATCCTTAGAAATGCTGAAGTAACTGTAAAACTAAACATACATATAAATGTTTTATGCACATAAGTCATGTTCATAGTCAAATCCTATTAAAATCATAATCGAAAGTAAATTTATTGAATCAAATGGAGGTGTAGAATAGAGGGACACATTCTAAATGTTACAACAATTTAAATGTTATGCAACTAACATATATACTCATATGTTAAAAAATAAAAATAAATAAACTCAAATTACACATAAATTACTATTGAATAGATGTGAAAAGACAGAGCATTTTGATTCTGCATTTTAGTGACATTTTTAGGGACAACCTTAGTCACCATGTATTCAGCCTTGACTACCAGGAAGGCTCCTATTATTTTAGCCCTTTATATGACTTTGTCTGAATTTGTATTTGCTTGGCCCCAGTGAGTGGTGGAGAAGAACAATAGAGAACTGAAATTCACATGATATACAAACTATGATGTATAATTTGGATCACTGCCAGAATTTTATTGAACTCATAAAAGTAGAACTATGTCTAATAAATGTACCTAAACAAAGTTTATATTTAAAAACTGGAATTTTGAAAACAAAGTAACATAAGGACTTTTGTTGTCAAAACAAATAGATGTTTTTAAAAATTAAAAAATAAAATGGGAAAATAGAGAAGCAATATTATGCTATGTTAAAAATTTTTCTAATTTATTGTTTTCTGTCTTGGTTTAGGAGAAATAGAAGAGCCTCCCTTGAAAAAAAAAGGTTGGTGTGTTTTTTTTTCACTTTTGAAACTAAATTTTTTCTCTGTGGTAATATTGATCTTAAGCATGACTTAAATATACTTTACTTGAGTTTTAGCCTTAATTTATTTTTAATATAGAATATTTAATGATTTGATCAAGATTTATAGTTAGGAAAAGAAATACTCAATTCTTTCCAGTGAAACTGATCCCACTGTTTTCGGCTGCATTGATGCCTTCTTCAATAGATGTGTGAATCTGTCTACACACAGATCATTGTGAATTGGGATTGTGGGAATGAGGAATGAATTCTGTAGTCTTGATAATGCCCCAAGAAGATACCCATGATCTTTATTCTCCACACGGCCAGATTTATTGATTCCAAATTTGTCTTCTTATTTTATTACTAGTGTCCAGATGCACGGATTCATGCACATTGAAAGGAAATTAATTAGAAGAAATATTTTAATATCGCCATTTGCCCTTTTTTTATAATAGAAGTGTCAACCAAATTCACGATCAATAATGACAGATTGAAACACACACATGTGATTGGTGCCAGTGAGAATGTTATATTTATTGTGCATGTGTGAGTCAACTTAGCCTTTCATAGATGTAGAATAAACTTGCTTAATTAGACCTGCTTTCTGATTTAGCTAAACTTTTTCCAGCCCAGTGAAACACCCCAACTTCTCTTTCAGGTAATAGTCAGCAACCCAGCAGTAAATATCAACACGAGGCAGATTATTATTGTAGATCACGCAGGGAGAACAAAGGGTAAAATACTTAGCTGTAGCAGTGTTTGACTATGTTCCACGCAATGAGAAAACCTGAAGTCATTTTCAAGTTCCACCATTTCTTACTACTTTTCAGTTGGGTCAAGTTTCTAAACTTTCTAAATCTCTATTGTCTTGCTAATGAAAAGACAATAGGATCCTACCAAGTCTCCTATCTACATACTCCAGGACTTATGTGAGGATCAAATGAGATGAGGCACTGGAAAACAGTTCACAAACATTTGGTTGACCTGTAAAATGTTTGCACCTGGCTATAAAGCAAGTCATGTTCCTGAGCTGAAGAAATTCCAATGAGGCTAGTCACTAGGGCAGTGATGGCGAACCTATGACATGCGTGTCAGAGGTGACACGCGAACTCATTTTTTTGGTTGATTTTTCTTTGATAAATGGCATTTAAATATATAAAATAAATATCAAAAACATAAGTCTTTGTTTTACTATGGTTGCAAATATCAAAAAATTTCTATATGTGACACAGCACCAGAGTTAAGTTAGGGTTTTTCAAAATGCTGACACGCCGAGCTCAAAAGGTTCGCCATCACTGCACTAGGGAGAGGAAGCCAGGCTTTGCCATGTGACATTATTACACGGCACCCACAGCAACTGTTTCTAGGCTGGGCTGGGCTGTGGGCTGCATTTTGCGCCATGGGGTCTCGGCAGTGTTGGCTGTGATTTGGTGGGGGATCACTCTGGGGTGGTGCCAGTGCCTGTGTCCCACTTGGGGGAAGCCAAGTGTTGGTTTGTTAGTGCCAGGTCCACAGTACCATTTATTTTTAAATGGCCAGTGCATGTCATGGCAGCTCCTACATTGAGCATCTGTCCCCTGGTGTGCGTGTCATAGCAACTGGTCAGATAAACGGACACTTAGCCTTATAGATATATATAGATTGGATTATTTTTGTTTTTATTTTTAGGTAGTAACTGTGGGACATGATGGCTGAGATAGTGTGGAGGATAATAATCTTGGAGGCACGAGCATATTCAGTCACTATGTATCGTGTAGGATCCTGAAGTACAGTTACCTGGGTATGCTTGGATGTGGTGTACAAGAATTCCTTGCAGGAATAGCTAGATCCTTATGCTGAATGACCTGCTCACAAATTCAAAAGATGGGCACAGTAAAGGCTAGGGAAAAGTGGTATAGTTATGGAGTGAGAGCCTCAGATGGGCAGAGATTTCTACAGGAAAGAGTAGGAATTATGTCTGCAAGGGAAAATAGGGAGTAAGGAACCCTATCCTCAGGTACTTTTAGTGTGACTGAGAAAATGGCAACACATAAACCAGACTTGACACAGTAACAATGTTTTAGTTATTGCTGCCCACGTTTAGCAGCAATATCATGGGAATATTTATTTTAGAGGAGGTCTTGCTGACTTCTATTGCTACCTCCCTAGAACACTGAATACAAACAGTGGGATCCAAATTTGGAGCTTCAGCCTTGCTTGAGCACATGATGATCACCTCACTGTGTGGGGTAAAATCCACTCGGTGTATGTTAAATTTGAAAATATTAATTTGACCAACCAGAGAGAGCTAAACCAGTGGAACACGACTGTGACAAAGCCATCCAAAAATGAAAGTGGTCATGAAGCTATGGGGAGGAGGAAAGACAGGTTTCCTGACTCACAAATCCAAGATGAGAACTCAAGAAGTCAAGAAAGACTTTAGCCATTACATCCAGGTTACAGATTCTAGATTAGTTTATTAGTCTTTTGAGGTAAGAAACATAGTCTTTTTACATCTGATCTTCAATGAATAGTGCCTAGAACAAAGCCAAACTTTAAGGTAATCAGTTACTAGTCATTATCTGGAAATAACAGTTTGTGTATATGTCTACTGCAATTGGAAAAGAAAAACAAACAAATAAATAACGATTTCTTACTTATACATAAATTAACTTCTATAAAAATATAATATTTTCCATGAGTCAATACTCAGTATTTAATAAAGAATCTGTTCTCTCTCTTTTTTTTTACTTGAATTTTCCGCTGGGAATATTTTAAAATTAAGTTTCATGTAATGATTAACATAAATTGCAAATTCTCACAAAGATATTTAATTATTGTTTCTTAATGTATTGCCTTGATTCCTCAAATCAACAAAAAAAAACATTAAATAGTTATTTAGGGTACTTTTTAAAAAATGTCAGTAACGCTTATTAGTTAAAATAGTCTAAGGGATATACTAGTATGTGTTTAAAACCATGTATATAAATATCTTCTTGAAGGATTACTAGGAGCAAAATAGATTTTAAAATCACCTGAATATATATTTTTTAGTAATATTATTTAAAAAGCTACATGAGAAAATGAACATTTAAGGAAACATCTTACGTACTCTACCTTGGGTACAAACGCTATGTAATGATAAACATTAGTTGAAGTGGACTAAAGAAAATAGATTTCACCTGACCAGCATGGCTCAGTTCATAGGTTAAGTGTAGACCTATGAACCAGGAGGTCACAGTTCGATTCCCAGTCAGGGCACATGCTGGAGATGCAAGCTCAATCCCCAGTAGGGGGGCGGTGTGCAGGAGGCAAGTGATTGATAATTCTCTCTCATCATTGATATCTCTCTCTCTCTCTTCCTCTTCCTTCCTTTCTAAAATCAATAAAAAATATACTTTAAAAAATAAAAAATGAAAGCATTTTTAATGTTATTACTAGGGAAATGATATTATGAGTTTAGTCTTATTTTAAGATAGATTATTTTATACATCTTCAGATTTAAAAATTGTAGTTTAAAAAGTTTTATTTTGTAATCTGGAATGATAGGCTCAAAAACATTTTATCTTTATTCATCTAAATTGTTCTTTATTAACATCTTCATTAATATTCTCTCCCATTCAGATATATTGAATAATATTTGGCTAAGTTATACTAACTAAATTATCAGGCTTTTGTTGTTCATTCAATTGCTGGTGTCTATATGAAGCATTTTTATTTAAATGCACTTAAAGTGTTGGTTAAATTTGTACTTGCTCTTTGAAATAAGGGACTGTCGCTAAGTTTGAACAGGACCACATATGATGACTGCTATTTCTGTAAGATTGTACCTGATGCATGTCAACGGCAGAGGAAGAGTCTCTTCTCTACTTAGAGCAAAACAAATTCCATCCTCCTTATAGTTGTGTTTTTAAATTGCCCTAAAGCTTCTCAGGTCAAAAAGAGCCCAGTAAATTTAAACTCAGGTCCTTCATTGTGTATTTTTCTCACTTTATTGAAATCCACAATAGCTCTTTGCCGTCAGGGTGAATAAGGAAGAGCCAGGAAATTTGAGCATCATAAATATTCAAGACTTTAGGATTAGGCCATTGAGAAGATTGCATCGAGTCACCGTGAGTAAGATAGATGGACAAGTTCCCCTGCCAGAGATTTCATTTCATCCATCTTTGCTGGCAGCTTCAGCGGCTTAGACAAGGCTGGACACTAAGTGCCCGAAAAAATATGGGAGAAAAGGAGGGAGAATGGAAAGGTAACTAAACTTGTTAAAATTCATAGCCTCAGAATATTGGTTACTAGGTAGGTCATAGTAACATTGTTAAGAAGATACATTTATTTTTGGATCTCTTTAAATAAGTCTCAATCAGAACTCGGCTTCATAGCTGCACTGTTGTATATTACCCTCAAGCTGGGACAGAACTCTGTGCTTTATACCCTGTCTTTCTCAGTATTGATCAGATCAGTGGTGACCGGGGAACAAAGCCCGGAGAGAACAGTCAGTGGGCCTGGAGGTGTGCATTAGGATGAAAAAGGCTGAGGAAGCAGAGGTAAATGGAAATATGGTGAATGACCCAGAAATGCACTTCCCAAGTAGTTGCAGCTGTTGTGAGTTCGGGACCCACCGTGTCAGGTAACTTTAGTACCATGTGCTGCTAAAAAAAGAGTTTGTCTCCATCAAGGCAAGGGAACTAGAACCAGGATGATGAAAAGAATAGTGGGTAAGATCAGAGCCCGAAGGAACAGGCCAAAGAAAGCAAGAGATCAGATATTGGCACCAGCCTCCTGGGGAATGAAAAGGCTGTCTGAGACAACGCAACGCAGGCCCAACCATTCTAAGTCGTTCTTGTTAGAGCCAGAATAATCTCAGTGCTGCTACATTCTTACCTGTAAGTAAAGTTGGATGTGTAATTGAGGTGTGTATGAATGGAAAGCTGTTAAGTCCATTGTATTCCAGACTCTCTTCTCTCTAGCTCTGTATGTTTCTTTTCCCCAAATCATGATAA